GGAGATATTAAGAGTCACAATGTCTACAACTCACTTTTTTTTTTTTTTTGGAGGAATCCCTCCAGAGGTTTTGAGGGAGAATCTGTTCCTTGCTTTGTACAGCTTTTGGTGGCTAATTGCTCTCCTTTGTGGTCACATGACTCCAATTTCTCCCTCCATCTTTACATCACTTTCTCCTCTTCTGTACGTTGTTATCTCCCTCAGCCTCTCTCTTACAAGGATACTTTTAATTGGATTAAGGGCCCACCCACATAATTCAAGATAATCTCCCCATGCATGTCAAAATCCTTATCATACCTGCAAAGACCACTTTCCTTATCAGGTAACGTTTACAGGTTCCAGGAATTTGGACCTGATATTTTTGGGCAGTCTTTTGCTCTTTCACATGAATTTTAGAATCAGTATGTTGAGATTTTGACTAGAATTACTTTGAATCTATATTTTAACTTGGGAAAAACTGACATTTTTATAAAATTGAATCTATTCCATTCATTTATTATTTAATATCCTTTAATCATGTCTTAGAGAAATTTCTAAAAAACTTAAAAAACCAGGAATGGTAGCTCACGCCTGTAATCCCAGCACTTTGGGAGGCCAAAGAAGACAGATCACTTGAGGTCAGAAGTTTGAGATCAGCCTGGCCAACTTGGTGAAACCCCGTCTGTATTAAAAATACAAAAATTAGCTGGGTGCGATGGCACACGCCTGTAATCCCAGCTATTTGGAAGGCTGAGGCAGGAGAATCACTTGGACCTGGGAGGTGGAGGCTGCAGTGAGCCAAGATCACGCAGCTGCACTCCAGCCTGGGCAACAGAGTGAGACTCTGTCTTAAAAACAAAAAAAAGGCCAGGCGCGGTGGCTCACGCCTTTAATCTCAGCACTTTGGGAGGTCGAGGCGGGTGGATCACGAGGTCAGGAGATTGAGACCATCATGACTAACATGGTGAAACCCCGTCTCTACTAAAAAAATACAAAAAAATTAGCCGGGCGTGGTGGCAGGCGCCTGTAGTCCCAGCTACTGGGGAGGGTGAGGCAGGAGAATGGTGTGAACGCGGGAGGTGGAGCTTGCAGTGAGCTGAGATTGCGCCACTACACTCCAGCCTGAGTGACAGAGCAAGACTCCGTCTCAAAAACAAAGAAAAACAAAACAAAAACAAAAACAAAAAGTCAATGATGGACCACATATACGAGAGTGATCATCCAATAATCTAACGTTAATTTATTATTGAAGAAAATATTTTTAAAATAAATTTAGTGTGCACAATGTTTATACAGTCTACAGTCGTCAGTAATGTACTAGGTCTCATACTCTCTTTTTTTTTTTTTTTTTTTTTGAGATAGCGTTTCACTCTTGTTGCCCAGGCTGGAGTGTAGTGGTGTGATGTTGGCTCACTGCAACCTCCGCCTTCCAGGTTCAAGCAATTCTGCCTCAGCCTGCCAAGTAGCTGGGATTGCAAGCGCCCGTCACCATACCTAGCTAATTTCTGCATTTTTAGTAGAGACAGGGTTTCACCATGTTGGCCCTGTGGTCTTGAACTCCTGACCTTGTGATCTACCTGCCTCAGCCCCCTCAAAGTGCTGGGATTACATGCATAAGTCACCGTGCTCAGCCAGGCCTTCATATTCATTCACCACTCACTCACTAACTCAACCAAAGCAATTTTCAGTCCTACAAGCTCTATTCATAACTGTCCTATACAGATGTATCTTTTTTTCATCTTTTTTTTTGGAGATGGAGTCTCGCTCTGTTGCCCAGGCTGGAGTGCAGTGGCGCAATCCTGGCTCACTGCAACCTCTGCCTCCCAGGTTCAAGCAATTCTCCTACCTCAGCCTCCCGAGTAGCTGGGACTATAGACACACACTGCCATGACTGGCTGATTTTTTAATATATATGTTTTAGTAAAGACAGGGTTTCACCGTGCTGGCCGGGCTGGTTTCGAACTCCTGACCTCAGGCAATTCGCCCGCCTTGGCCTCCCAAAGTGCTAGGATTACAGGCATGAGCCACCGTGCTCGGCCCATTTTTTATCTTTTATAGAGTACTTTAACTGTGATATGTTTGGATACACGAATACTTACCATTGTATTACAAAGGCCTACAGTATTCAGTACAGTAACATGCTACACAGGTTTATAGCCTACAAGCAGCAACAGGCTATGCCATATATCCTATGTGTGTAGTAGGCTATACCATCCAGGCTTATATAAGTACACTGTATAATGTCTGCACAAGAAAATCACCTTACAACACATTTCTCAGAATATATCCCCATCGTTAAGTAATGCATGACTGTAGGTTAAGACTTAATTTTCTAACAGCTAAAGTACAGAAACTTAACTGATTGATGTATATTGAACTTGTATCCAGGTATTTTGCTGAAATCTTTTTTTTCTAATAATGTGTCTGCAGATACTCTTGAGTTTCCTATGTAAAAGTCATTTCTTTCAATCATTACAGTTTTGTTCCCTGATTTCCAATCTTTTCTTTTTCTTATTTTACTGTGCTGGCTCAGCCTCCACTAACATGCTGAAAAAAGGGATGATACATCTAGGTTTTTATTGGATATCTTTTGCCAAATTAAGGAAGTTATTTTCTGTATCAATTTTGTTAAAGTGTTTCTTATGAAAGAGCATTAAACTGCATAAAATGTTAATGCAATGAATTACATTATTTTTGACATTACCATGTTCTTGAATTCCTGAAACAAACCAACTTGATAATGGGTATTTTTTTTTTAATGTATTACCAGACTGTTAGTGTTCCCTTTCTCAACAAATGGCATCATGATTAATCCTGTTACTTACTGTATCCATAAATGCAAGAACCACTGTTGACCCATATTCTGTCAATTTGACACCCTAAATATCTTTTATATATATTTTTATCTTAATCAAGGTATCACTTTGTTGCCCAGGCTAGAGTGCAGTGGCATAATCATGGCTCATGGCGGCCTTGAACTCCTGACCTCAAGTGATCTTCCCACCTCAGCCTTCCAAAGTGTTGGAATTACAGATGTGAGCCACCATGCCTGGCCCTAAATATCTTTTGATCTATCTGCTTCTGTCAATTTCTACTTTCACCTCCCTAATCTACACTACCACAGTTTCTTATATAAACTGCTATGAGAGTCCCCTAACTAGTTCTTGGCACTTACTTTCTTTTTAAAACAACCTTATTGAAATGTAATTCATACCAGGCATGGTGGCTCATGCCTGTAATCCCAGCACTTTGGGAGGCCGAGGTGGGTGGATCACCTGAGGTCAGGAGTTCAAGACCAGCCTGACCAACATGGTGAAACTCCATCTCTACCAAAAATACAAAAATTAGCCGGGTGTGGTGGCAGGCACCTGTAATCCCAGCTACTCAAGAGGCTGAGGCAGGAGAATTGCTTGTACCCAGGAGGCGCCAATGCACTCCAGCCTGGGTGACAGAGTGAGACTCTGTCTCAAAAAAAAAAAAAAAAAGAAATATAATTCACAAATAATATAATTCCCCATTTAAAGTGTACTACTCAACGGCTTTTAATAGACTCAGAGTTTTGTAACCATCACCACAATCCAATCAATTTTAGAACATTTTTGTTTTAAGCATTTGCCTTTTCTCCAAATCATTTACCACATTACAGTCAGAGATCTTTCCAGAATCTAAATCTCATTTAATCAGAGCAGGCAGCGATTAAAAGTTCATTAAATTATTTTTTATGTGATGAACTGCCCAGTTTCTTCAGGTCAAGGTTTATTTCCCTACTCAAAACACATAACTAGAAAGTTGTGGGTGTACTCAAAACACCTACCTAGAAAGTTGTGGGCGGTTGGTACCAGCATTGAAGAGAGTGGGAGAAGCATGAGTAAACCACCTCTCAGAAAGAAGATTATATGTTTCAATTGCTGCATCAATGTCTTCTTTGTGGATCCCAACAGATACTCTCATCAACATATGTTGTGGTCTTTCAGCCACTATAGACAAAAGAGGAGTTTTCACATGATGAGACATGTCAGAAAAAGTAGGTTGAGATACATATTTGAATTTTAGAAAAGGATACCAAAAGGAAACTAGAAAAACTTTATACTAATAAGCAGGACAATTATCCACAAACTAAACCTAAAGTCCAAAATGTTATCTGGAGTCTAAGTAGGAATATTAAGACTTATAGCTCAAAGTTATATATTCAATATAATCAGTAGAAAATGTAACACACAAACATGTTCATTTCTCACCTTTTCCATTGATCTTCAACAAATAAGACCGCTCTAGCGTCTAGAAAGAGAGAAACAACAAAAAATTTTCAGAGCACCGTTTTTAAGACGCAGTGGATATATCATCCACTATAAGACAATCTCTTTAAATCTTGGCCGTTTCTATAAAATTTCAAATGAAAAGAATAGCACATTTACTCTTCCTAGCTTCATCTGGAACATTATCATTGGCACTTTTTTTTTTTTTTTTTGAGACGGAGTCTCGTTCTGTTGCCCAGGCTGGAGTGCAGTGGCGCGATCTTGGCTCACTGCAAGCTCTGCCTCCTAGGTTCATGCCATTCTCCTGCCTTGGCCTCCCGAGCAGCTGGGACTACAGGCGCCCGCCACCATGCCTGGCTAATTTTTTTTTTTTCTATTTTTAGTAGAGACCATGTTAGCCAGGATTATCACTGGCACTTTTTTAAAAAAAACTTTTTAAAACATTCTGTAGACACATGGTCTCCCTGTATTGCCCAGGCTGGTCTCGAACTCCTGAGCTCAAGGAATCCTCCCATCTCAGCCTCCTCACTGGCACTTTTGTTTCGGCAGAGACTGCATGAAAATTTCTGGAAAAAGTCAGCTCTGTACACATTAACAGCAGAAGTTGTAGTATTCATCATCATCATCATCAACATCAAAACAGCTAACACTTAAAAAGTGCCTGTAACAGACTAGGCACTAATCTAAGCAACATCTACACTTGTTTAATCCCCTGAAGACTCCTCATGGGGATTAAATGAGCAACATATACATCAGGGATTCTTCAGGGGATTAAATGAGTATATATGTTGCTTAGAGCAGTGCCTAGTCTGTGGCAGGCACCTTTTTTTTTTGAGACAGAGTCTCACTCTGTCACCCAGGCTGGAATGCAGTGGCGCGATCTTGGCTCACTGCAACCTCTGACTCCTAAGTATAAGCAGTATCCTGCCTCAGCCTCCCAAGTAGCTGGACTTACAGGCATGCACCACCATGCCCAGCTAATTTTTGTATTTTTTAGTAGAGAGGGCACTTCACCCCGTGGTCCAGGCTGGTCTCCAACTCCTGACCTCGGGTGTTCAGCCCGCCTTGGCCTTCCAAAGTGCTGGGATTACAGGCGTAAGCCACCACGCCCAGCCTGTTATAGGCACTTTAAGTTGAAATTTAAACTAAATTGGCCGCAGTGGCTAATGCCTGTAATCCCAGCACTTTGGAAGGCCAAGGCAGGTGGATTACCTGAGGTCAGGAGTTCAAGACCAGCCTGGCCAATATGGCGAAACTCTGTCTCTACTAAAAACACAAAAATTAGCTGGGCGTGGTGGTGTGTGCCTGTAGTCCCAGCTACTCAGGAGGCTGAGGCAGGAGAACTGCTTATACTGGGCAGACAGAGGTTGCAGTCAGCCAAGATCGCGCCACTGCACTCCAGGCTAGGTGAAACAGTGAGACTCAGTCTCAAAAAAAAATTTTTTTTTAATTAAATTTGTTGTTGAAATTTTATATTCTCCCCATTCTAAAAAGGAGGAAACAAGCACAGAGAGATTAAATAACTTGCTAATAAGAAATAGAGCAGAGACTGGAATTCAGGTGGACAATGACATTCATGTTCTCAGTCACTACACTATACTATATACTATACTATACTGCCTATCAACGCAAAAATACTTAGAATGTTATGAAACACTTATGGTAATTTATCTGCATAACTCCTCAGGTAATCCAGAAGTAATATGTGGAAAATTCAAAAATTGCAAATAGATAAGCTACCTTTGCCTTAATTCAAACCACCACTGCTACCTTAACCCCACTAACTCCCCAGGTCCACCCCAACTCCAAACAACTTATGGCCTTGATAACTGTCATCAAAACATAAATAAAATCCTGTATTTCATGATTTAAGTACAAGTCCCCAAATACTTGAAACCCGTTATTTACCTTAAAGCCAAAGTAATTGTAAGAGAAATCTCGGTCATAGATAATGGCAGAATTCAGGCGCTGATACGGGTGAAAAAGAACGCACAATTAAATTAAAATAATTACTTATTTTCACAAAATCTGTTGTCTCTCAGCCCTGACTCCAGAACTAAAATCAACACAGATAACACTAAGCATTATTACTGTAGAAGTCCATCTAACATTCTAAAAAAAAGAAACAATATATATAAATTAAGTATCCTAATTAGGTTTAAAAATATGTATATTACAACACTAGAAGATAATACATAAATATATGTTGTGAGATTACATTTAATTTTCCAAACTTTCACTATTATGTTTATAGTATGTTTTGAAAGGGGGAAAAAACATGAGCATAAATGGGACTATATTATCATCCTTAAACATGTTTTTAGATTACTATTAATCCAAAAGTATTGTTACTACATATTTACTTATATATATATATATTTACTTCAAAAACTAGCCTACCTCAAACTGCATATAACAGTATATGTAATAAACAATGACAAGAAGCAGGCTTACGTTAATTCTGAGGCTCTTCAAAATCTATGGTCCTTTAACAAGTCTCAGACAAACCACTATTGTAACAGTAAGATTTTATAGCGTAACTGGTCATTATTACAGAGTTTTAGTAGGCTATAAAGCCATTCAGAGGAAAACAAAAGCAATTAACGTACAAATAATCATTTCTGATAGAAAAAAACGGAGCCAGGTTTTCAAAATACTAAGTGTTTCTACATAATGATCCATATCTAAGGACTAGAAAAACCTATACGAAAGCTTGCTTTCCTTCTCTCAAAATTTTAAGGCCATCTTTGTTGCCAAAGGCAGGTATGGGCTCAGAACTGAAACACTTGACTATCAATAGACATATTTTTAGACACATGTTTGATGCTGCTGCTGTATTTTTGTCTTCACCTTGTCTTCAAGATTACACAAATTAACAACACACAAACAACTCAGTTTTCTCCTAGTCTCTTTAACATCAGATACATTTTTAGAGAGACAGTCAATTAATCATTCTTTTTTTTTTTTTTTTTTTGAGACTGAGTCTTGCTCTGTTGCCCAGGCTGGAGTGCAGTGGCATGATCTCGGCTCACTGCAAGCTCCGCCTCCCGTGTTCACACCATTCTCTTGCCTCAGCCTCCTGAGTACCTGGGACTATAGGCGCGTGCCACCACGCCTGGCTAATTTTTTGTATTTTTAGTAGAGACAGGGTTTCACCCAGTTAGCCAGGATGGTCTCGATCTCCTGACCTTGTGATCCACCCACCTTGGCCTCCCAAAGTGCTGGGATTACAGGCGTGAGCCCCCTCACCCAGCCTAATCATTCTATTACCCAAAGTTAAAACTGGTCTCTAACCTGTCCAGATATACATGGTAAATAAATCCTGTGTGTAAAAGGGCTGGTTAGGCTACATCTTTTCCCTTCTGTCCTCTGGCATCTAGTTAAGAAAGCAGTTCAAACACAAGTGGATAATTTTTAAGCTGCTGAGCATGAGCTTGTAAAATTTTACCTGAGCAACCTTTTTGGGAGTCAGTTTGGCAATGCCTATCAAAATTTTGAATTCACATACACATTGGCTCAGCAATTCAACTGAAGGGATTTATCTTACAGATATATTCATCTATGGGCAAAACACCTACCATACAAGAATATTCACTGCAGTGAAAAGATGAAAACCAAATATTGATCACTAAAGGAATTCTTACACATACATACAATGACAATATATCTATAAAATGGAACATTATACAACTATTATAAAAAAATGAGTAAATTCATAAAGGCTGATAGAGAACAAACAAGATATACTTACAAGTGAAAAAAGTATCAATGAAAATAGTATGCACAGTACAGTACCACCGAAAATAAAAATATATATGTACACACATGTATGCACACACATGTACGTACAAAATAGCTCCGGAAAAATACATTTTAAAATGATAAAGTTGTTTCTAAAGAGGAAAATCAGGAATCAGGGCAGGAAAAAACAGAATTGTATTTACCTGTATCTTTTGTAGTGTTTAAATTTTCTAAAATGTGTGCAATATTAAAAAAGACTATCAAAAAATTTCCACCAGAAAAGTGTTATACATACATCTTTATTAGCCAAAACAATATCCAATGTTGACTTGGCCACCATAGGAGAGTGTTTGCCATTATGTGGATTTATGTAGTTATAGAGGTCTTCCATCACATCTAAAAAAATACAACAAAAAAAGAAAATATATCAAGACCACTTCACAGCTAATTCAATCTTTAGGTAACAGTTGAAAACAGTAGTTCTCAACCCTTTTTTTCTTCTCAACCCACCTCAATATCTAGCATGTAAAGTGCTCAATAAACACATACATGTTGAAGAAATATGTAATAACTCATTTAAGGAAACAATCTTCTAGAGTTAAAGTGATTATAAGCTCTTGTAGTTTAAAATAAGATTCCTGGGCCGGGCACCGTGGCTCACGCCTGTAATCCTAGCACTTTGGGAGGCTGAGGCAGGCGAGTCACGAGGTCAGGAGATAGAGACCATCCTGGCTAACACGGTGAAACCTCGTCTCTACTAAAAATACAAAAAATTAGCCGGGCATGGTGGCACGCGCCTGTAGTCCCAGCTACTCGGGAGGCTGAGGCAGGAGAATGGCATGAACCCGGGAGGCGGGGCTTGCAGTGAGCCGAGATTGCACCACTGCACTCCAGCCTGGGTGACAGAGTGAGACTCTGTCTCAAAAATATAAAAATAAAAATAAAATAAAATATAAATAAATAAACAAAACAGATTCCTAAGGCTGGACAGTGGCTCACATCTGTAATCCCAGCTCTTTGGGAAGCTAGCCACCCACCTCAGCCTCCTGAGTAGCTGGAATGACAGGCACACACTACTATACCTTGTTAACGTTTTTAATTTTGGAGAGAAAGGGTCTCACTATGTTACCCTGGCTAGTCTTGAACTCCTGGGCTCAAGTAATCCTCCTGCCTTGGCCTCCCAAAGTGCTGGGATTAGGCCCACCATGCCTGGCATAAAATTTTTAAAAACTGTTTTTTCCTTTTTGGCTCCCAATAGGAAACAATAAAGATTTTTTAATCTCAGTCTACCAGCTGGCTTCTTATATATTGAACAAATTATTTAACCTTCCCTTTCCCACATTCCCTGAGCTGTAAAATGGTAGTGATGAAATGAAGAGTTCGCATCTAGTGAGAAAGGAGCAACTATAACATTTTGTTTAACCCAAAACTTGTCAATAAATATTATTCATTTTTCCAACCATATCACCACCAAGTGCCTAACAATGGGCTTTAAAAAAAAGAGAGAGAGGCCAGGTGCGGTGACTCACGCCTGTAAACCCAGCACGTCGGGAGACCAAGGAGGGCAGATCACCTCAGGTCAGGAGTTTGAGACCAGCCTGGGCAACATGGTGAAACCCCATCTCTACTAAAAATACAAAAATTAGCTGGGCGTGGTGGCAACTGCCTGTAATCCCAAGCTACTCGGGAGGCTGAGGCAGGAGAATCGCTTGAACCTGGGAGGCGGAGGTTTCAGTGAGCCGAATCATACCATTGCACTCCAGCCTGGGTGATAAGAGCAAAACTTTATCTCAAAAATAAAAAAACTTAAAAAGAGAGAGAATAAAAAACTTAAAGAACAAAGATACATCAACTCTTTCATACAGCAGATAGGCAGCATGGAGAAATAGGAAACTCTAGTCCACTCTTTCCCACTAATTTACATATTTGCCATTTATTTATTTATGAGACAGAGTCTCACTCTGTCGTCCAGGCCGGAGTGCAGTGACATAGGCTCGGCTCACTGCAATCTCCGCCTCCTGGGTTCAAGCAGTTCTCCTGCCTCAGCCTCCCGAGTAGCTGAGATTATAGGCCCCTGCCACCATGCCCAGCTAATTTTTTGTATTTTTAGTAGAGATGGGGTTTCACCATGTTGGCCAGGCTGGTCTCAAACTCCTGACCTAAGCGATCAACCTGCTTGGCTTCCCAAAGCACTGGGATTACAGGTGTGAGCCACTGCACCCGGTCTATTTTATAATTTTAGATTTTTCTTAAAACGCAGAGATGGGGTTTCGCCACATTGCCCAAGCTGTTCTCAAACTCCTGGACTCAAGCAATTTGCCTGCCTTGACTTCCCAAATTGCTGGGATTTGAGGTGTAAGCCACCCCACCTAGCCATATTTGCTTCTTTAAACAGTCAAGATTTCTACTACCCTTATTACTTTTCTGAGAATACTGAATTTTTACTTTTTCACCCAAGACTTACCACTGAACACTTTCTTTGTTTCTTTGTGTAAGTTAGAGACAGCAATCCTGGCTGCCAGGATAGCATAGTCAGGGTGCTTAGTAGTCAAGGTTGCAGCTGTTTCAGCAGCCAAAGTATCTAGTTCCACTGTGGTGACCCCACTGTACAAGCCTTGGATTACTTTCATGGTGATCTGAGCCTACAAAAATAAAACCAAGAATTACTTGAGCTTTCCCAAGAAACAACAGCTTCCTTAAAAGAGTAATTAAGAAAACCATCATGGCCAGGTGTGGTAGTACATACCTATAGTCCTAGCTACTCAGCATTTGAGGTGAGGGGATCACTTAACCTTAGCAGTTCATGACCCTATTTAAAAAAAAAAAAAAAAGCCAGGCGTTGTGGCTCACACACATAATCACAGAGCACTTTGGGAAGCCAATGTGGGAGAATGGCTTAAGTACAGGAGTTCAAGACCAGCCTGGGCAAGCTAGGAAGACCCCCCCGCCACCATCTCCACAAATAATTAAAAAATTAGCTGGGTGTGGTGGTACACACCTGTGATCCCAGCTACTCAGGAAGCTGAGGCTGCAAGGAGCTGTGATTATGCCACTGCACTCCAGCCTGGGCGACAGAGTGAGACCCTGTCTCAAAAAAAAAAAAAAGAAAAAAGGAAAACAATCAAATTCACATCACAATATAAACGACAGGTTGGGCACAGTGGCTCACACCTGTAATCCCAACACTTTGGAAGGCCGAGGTAGGAGGCTCACTTGAGCGCAGGAGTTTGGGACAAACCTGAGCAATATAATGAGACCCTATCCCTACTAAAAATTAAAAAATTAGCCAGTCAAGGTGGTAAGTGCCTGTGGTTGCAGCTACAGGGTAAGCTGAGGTGGGAGGAATGCTTGTACTGGGGAAGTCAAGGCTGCACTGAGCTATCTATGATCATGGCACTGTACTCCAGCCTGGGCAACACAGTGAGACCCTGTCTGAAACAAAGAACAAGACAATTTACTTATCTGAAAAATTATCTTTCGGAATGGTGGGCAGTGGGAAACTTAGTAATGAGAATGCACAACCCAGCAGAACTACAGAAAATGTATACTACATATAAAATGAAGGTGTTATTAAAAAAACTAAATATAGCCTTTAAATCAATTAGTCTCACAGGGAAATAGCTGAAAACATACTAATGATTCTATATTTCCCTATTTTCATTCAAATTCTCCCAACAGACTAATGATTCTATATGAGTGTTTCCCCATTTTTCATTCAGATCCTCCCTAAGTGATCAGGGCTCCAGCTTCATACTTACTTTTCCCAAATTCCATATAAGGATAAGTACAGAAAAGCAAATGAATCAAACTTTAATCATGCCAATTAAAGGAGAAAGAAGTATAAATTAGGTTCGGGGCTGAGTCATGATAATTTAATGACTACTCTTTCTTTAGCACTTCACAAATTACAAAGTGCAACCTCCACCCCTGGGGTTCAAATGATTCTCAACCAAAGTTGATCAAAAATTATCAACTTTGATAATCTCTGACATTTCATAATCACTTTGTGAGATGATTATTACTATACCTATTTTACATTAAGAACCTGAGGCTCAGGTTATTGGGACTTGCCCAAGGTTATATTATTGTATAATAATAGTCTTCTGGCCCCAACCCCATTAAACTTCACTGTATTTCACTGTTTTCAAGGCCACATTGTAAGTTCATTTTTAAGACACGTAATGCACAAGGTATTAGCATACATTTTTAAGAAAAACAAATTCTAAGTTGTGAGTGTGTGTGTTTACTGAATCTTTAAGAAACCACTTAATCCAACAGAAAATAAATGTATTTCCCAGCTGAACAATGCATACCCCCCTCAAAAAAAAGACACATACATGTGTAACTATTTTAACAGTCTGCAATCTATTCTAATTATAATATAGCTAAACCCAAGTTGCTCCCGATCACTTTCTTCCCAGATCCAGTAGATAAGGTGTGTTCAGTATAAGAGCAGTGAAGTCTTCTAAATAGTTTCTAGAGTAATATGGCAAACAATTAGAACTCAGAATAAAATACCATCTGTGTGCTAACTGTGCTGTGCCAGATCTAACCGCATACACAGTTTTTCTTTTTTTCTTTTTGAGACAGGGTCTCATTCTGTGGCCTATGCTAGAGTACAGTGGCACAGTCTCAGCTCACAGAAACCTCAACCTCCAGGACTCAAGTGATCCTCCCACCACCAAGTAGCTGGGACTACAGGCATGCGCCACCATGCCCAGCTAATTTTTGTTTTTTTTTGTTTTTGTTTTGTTTTGTTTTGTTTTTGTAGAAACAGGGTTGAGGGAAGGCACGGTGTGGCTCATACCTGTAATCCCACCACTTTGGGAGGCCAAGCCGGGCAGATCACTTGAGGCCAGGAGTTCATGCCTGGCCAACATGGCAAAATCCTGTCTCTACTAAAAATACAAAAAAAATAGCCGGGCGTGGTGGCACATGCCTGTAATCCCAGCAGAGGGAGGCTGAGGCACAAGAATCATTTGAACCCCAGGGGCGGAGGCTGCAGTGGGCCAAGATTGTGCCACTGCACCTGGGCAGTTTCACCACGTTGCCCAGGCTGGTCTCAAACTCCTGAGCCCAAGCAATCTGCCTACCTTGGTCTCCCAAAGTGCTGGGATTACAGACGTGCACCGACAGTTTTTCAACAGAATCTACCTTAGGAAGTTTGAGGATGCTGCAACACTCCCGAGCTCTAAAATGTACTACTGCATGAGGCAATAGAACATGTGGGAGTGAAGAGACCTAGGTGCTTCTCCCTATACTCCCACTAACTTAAGTCACCTCCCTCTCTCTTTGGAACTTTCTTACCTATAAAACAAAGATGAAATGGGATGGGCTCTCAAGGTTCATTCCAACTCTAACATTCTACTGTTCTAATTATTGTCTTAAGTCCTCAATGTAAAAGAGAATTTACAATAAACATATTTTCAAGATGCATAAAATCATTTTCTCTTGACCAAACTTACTTTGGTCAAGTGGCTAAATAGATATATGTCAAGCACTGAGGATATCACAACAATAAGATACACAGCCCATCCTCAATTCTAGGGTAGGATAAAGACCTATAATTAATTTCCATGTTATATGATTAAAGCTATGAGATGAGCACAGGTTTTACAGCAGTACAGATAAGATACCTAAATAAGGAGATGGAAATATGGGTGGATTTGAAGAAAAGAGTTCTTAGAGATTCTCATTTAAGGAAGATCATTTTAGAAGTCAGGTGGAAGACGAGTTTGAAGAGGGCAAGATTAGAGGAAGTCCAGGACACTGCAGAGACCACAGAAAACAGTCCAGATAACTGATGAGAGTCTAGAATATAGAAGTTATAAAGGATAAGGAAAAAAGCAGAGCAACTCGTTTATGAATAGTTTGTTCTTGACTTAAATATTGTCCATGAAATCTACTTTATATTACTTAAATCTTTTTACATAAATAACAAAAAGCAAATTTTAAACCAGTTCCTACCTAAATAACCACAATTCCAAAACAAACTTTAGGCTTCCCTTTTTTTTTTTTTTTTTTTGAGAGGGAGTTTCGCTCTGTCGCCCAGGCTGGAGTGCAGTGGCACGATCTCGGCTCACTGCAACTTCTGCCTCGGGTTCAAGTGATTCTCCTGCCTCAGCCTCCCAAGTAGCTGGGATTACAGGCGCCCACCACCAGGCCCAGCTAATTTTTGTATTTTTAGTAGAGACAGGGTTTCATCATGTTGGCCAGGCTGTTCTTGAACTCCTGACCTCAGGTGATCCGCCCACCTCAGCCTCTCAAAGTGCTGGGATTACAGGCGTGAGCCACCGCGCCTGGCCTAGGCTTTTCCACTAATGAATAAAACAATTTACTCAAGGAAATATCTGATATTAAATGTTAATATCAAATTTTCCTCTTTACTCACATTCATAGTTCTCTGAAAAGTGAGAACTCACAGGACAGAATCAAAATTAAGAAAAAAAAATGTTTTAAGCAATGAATTCAAATTTTATATCAAAGGGCATAGCCAGAATACCAAAGTATATCAGGTGAGTGAAGGTCCAGGAATAAGAGACAAACGGAAAGAAACACATGAAACAAGGAACCCAAGATAAAAACCATATTTACTTACAGGATCAACAAAATCCATATTGAGTCCATAACAAAGCTTCTGGATTCGAGATGTAATTTTGTCAAACATGACTCGCTCTTGGCGGCCATCTAAAGAATCAAATCATGTTAGCAATTATTAAATTCTGTTAGCAATTATTAAGACTACAATGTCAAAGAATCAAATGTAATTAACATGTAAATTGACCAACATGAAATGCTATTTCACAGATAAGATTCAGGCCCCCTCAAAAGATTCATGACGAGATTGTCTTCTCTGATGTCACCTTCAAAGAGTATGAATTCTATACATACAGATATTTACAGATAACTTCCTAAATTCCCCCCCATCCCACATTGCAGCCAAAATCACCCTTTAAAAGTTAAACTCAGAATCATATCATTACCTTCCTCAAAACTCCTAATAGTGGCTTCTTATCTCCAGAATAAAAGTCAAAATTGTTAAAAAACAATCCACAGGCCAGGCGTGGTGGCTCACACCTGTAAGCCCAGCACTCTGGGAGGCCAAGGCGGGTGGATCACCTGAGGTCAGGAGGAGTTCTAGATCAGCCTGACCAATATGGTGAAACCCTGTCTCTACTAAAAATACAAAAAATTAGCCGGGCGTGGTGGCAGGAGCCTGTAATCCCAACTACTCAGGAGGCTGAGGCATGAGAATTGCTTGAATCCGGGAGGCGGAGGTTGCAGTGAGCTGAGATCACGCCACTGCATTCCAGCCTGGACAACAAGAGTGAAACTCCATCTCAAAAAAAAAAAAAAACAAAAAACAAGAAATCCACAGAATCCTATACAACCTGTCCTGTGCACCCACCTCCCAATTTCACCTCCAACTCTCCCACCTTCCTTCCTATTCTACCTTGACAACCTGGCCTTCTTGCTATAGATCTCCTTTAGGTCTTTTGCTCAATGTCATCACCTTCTCAATGAGGCTTTCCCTGATGATTCCATTTTAAATTGCAATGCCCCAAATAGGGCCCTTGCTCTTCTTATCTCCCTTCCCCTTCTGTGCTTTTTCTCCATAGCGCTTATCCCATCTGACATACTATATATTTTACCTAATATTTTTCATGATTTTGGACTTAGATTATATCTTTGTCCTTCTAGACAAAAGTCTTACTACTCTTAGTTTAACCTCAAATAGTAGCTCATCCGACCTTTATTTATTCTTACCAGGAATAGTGAATATATCAAACCACCAAACAGCCTTAACCCTAGGCAAGCCACAAAACATAATCAGTCATTTCACAGATCTTCATTTGTAGAAAAGGGTTAATTATTATATCTATTCTATTTGCCTCACCAGTTTACTGTGACAATAAAATGAGATAAGGTAAAAAGTGCTTTTGTTGTAACAACTTTGGCATAGTTACAACTATGATACCTCATTATAAAATAAAGCTGCTCCTATGGGGAAAAAAATCACAGTATGTGATACACAATAGGCACTCAATAAATATTAGTGTCTCACACTGATTTAGTTTTTGTCTCCTTTGTGCACCCACAATCCATTGTAACTATAGGCTGAGTATCCTTAATCCAAAATTCCAAAATCCAAAACACTCCAAAATCCAAAACTTTTTCAATGCCAACACAATGTTCAAAGAAAATGTTCCTTGGACCATTTCAGATTTTGGATGTTCTGATTAGGGATGCCCAACTGGTAACTATAATGCGAATATTCCAAAATCTGAAACAAATCCAAAATCTGAAACACTTCTGGGCCCAAGCATTTTGGATAAGGGATACTCCAAAATGAGTATCCAATGGTTACTCAAAAATGAGTATTGGTAACCAATAAGAAACATGTTAAATATATTTACATTTGGCCCTCTCATTCACATCTGTATTCTCAAATTTAGTGCCTAGAACAAGGCAAGTTCTCAAACATTTGATGAAGAATAAATGAACAATAAGACATCACTATTAAACCATTATCACTAGAACAAGTTGCTTTTTCTTCTACACTGATATATTAGCCCTTCTCTTTCTGATCACCATTGTGATAATTTTCTGATTAGGCTCACATTTGCAGCATTTAACTCTGGAACAGGGTAAATTAACTGGCTGGCACTGGGACTGAAACCTCAGTGCTCTGGCAATTGGAAAACTAAGCAGGCAGGTAACCACAAAGCAACATTAGCGTTCTGCAATTATACATGGAGTGGCGGGGGAAAGCAACTTAGCAAAAAGAAAATTCTGCAACTGCCAGAAGTTCTGAAGTCAATCAGGAAACTGACAAAAAAAAAAAGTGCATTGGTAATTAATCTTAACTCACACGTGAGAATAGGAGGCAGACTAAAGATCTAAAGGTCCAATGACACGCGGTTCTCTATTCTGTCATTCCACTTGGTTAGTTTTTCAAGCCAGATGTCGATTTTATAACATCAGTAATCCCTGCTTCTCACTGCCTACATTATCCTCTTCTCTCAAGTAAAGTCTTTCTTAGTTTGGCCCCAGATCTCTTCTACTGTTCCCTGTGAAATGTAAGTCCCAAGAAGGCTTCCCATTCCCATATCCACATCATTGCTTATACCGTACTCTGCCTAAAAGTTCCTCTTCCACATTTCCATACATCTAACTCCTGAGGCAGGCGGATCACCTGAGGTCAGGAGTTCGAGACCAGTCTAGCCAACATGGTGAAACCCCATCTCTACTAAAAATACAAAAAAAACACAATGAGCTGGGTATGCTGGCAGGTGCCTGTAATCCCAGCTACTCGGGAGACTGAGGCAGGAGAATTGCCTGAACCCGGGAAGCAGAGGTTGCAGTAAGCTGAGATCACACCACTGCACTCCAGCCTGGGCGACAGAGCGAGACTCCATCTCAAAAAATAAAAAATAAAACAAAAAATCCTCTAGCATACTAGTGTGATTTCCTCTTGACTATAAACTGTCTTTCATTCTTCTCTCTTCAGGAAGATGTCCCTAATCCTGTAAGACCAAGGATGCGTGCCTTTTCCACAAGATACAAACTTTGTAATTTCCTCTGCCGAGAATGTTCAGGCCACAGATCTCACATTACTAGCTCTTAGTACTATTTAGGGTTCAGCTCAAATGTTGGCTTCTCAGAGAAGCCTTTCCTGGCTACCTAATCCAAGGTTATTTTCTCATTCATCTTTATCACATGATCCTGTTTTACTATCATCTCATTAATCAGTATCTGAAATTAACTGATTATTATGTTTACTTATTTCTTATATACACTTACCACTCCCACCCACACCAAGTTGTAAACTCAATGAGAAATGTAATTTAGCTTTGTTCACTGCAGAATCTCTAATGCCTACAACAGCTCCTAGCACAAAGAGATGCTGAATAAATGCTTTATGAATAACTGAATGAATGGCCTCTACTGCCTATACTTTACCTCTCAGAGTATTTATCATATCTTATCATATTACTTCTTTATTTGTCTATCTTTCTCAACTGATTGTAGGATCTTTGGAAGCTGGAACCATGTCTGCCTACTCATCACAGGAATCCCAGTACACAGCACAGTATCCACACACAGAGTTGTAAAATAACATAGCAGGCTGTGAATGGAATAGGAAGGAAGGAAGGAAGGAAGGAAGGAAAGAAGAGGGGAGGAAGGGAGGGATACGGAAATAATCTGGAATAAAAGAAAGATTAGAGTGCAAATGGATGCTTTCGAAGGCATTATTTCGTAAACTTTTGTATCATTTTATGTGTATCCACATATATACACGTATGTCTGTAAAACGTTTTGTTTTTTACTGCGAGTTACAATCCAAAGTTTTGAAAATACTACACTAAATTCCAAAACAGTTTACAACTCAGTCAGCTACTTTGTCATTTACTGCAATGGTTCTCAGTGTTTATTTTTTTAACCATAATCTCCTTGAGGAATGACATTCTCCCATTAGGAAAAACAGCTCAAGATAGCAGATGAAAAAAACTAATCTACTATTCTCTTCTAATAATTTTCATATGGATTGTTCCTAAATCCCTAACAATTTTAAGTTCTTTAAAGACAGAGCTGCCTTCTCCATTACTGCCCTCACAGTGTTTAGCAAGACATTAGCACATTCAGTAGGTACTTGAAAGTCAACTTCCAGTTGCCCTTCTGAATAATTATATTAAAAATAACAAACCCTAGCTGGGCATGGTGGTGCACATCTGTAGTCCCAGCTACTGAGGAGGCTGAGGCAGGAGAATCTCTTGAACCCAGGAGGCACAGACTGCAGTTGAGTTGAGATCATGCCACTGCACTCCAGCCTGGGTGACAGAGCAAGACCCCATCTCAAAAAAAAAAAAAGAAAAAATTAACAAAAACTATAGGAGTTAGTCTGATATTTCACTGACATGCCAAAAATAAGAGGGGACAAAAAAAGTCCAGAAAACCAAAAACCCTATGCATATTAAAAAACCATAAAAATAAAATATAGAAACATAGAAATATAAAAAAAATAAAGAAAAAAATCTAAGTACATGTTGTACATTAACAAGTGTTGCTGAATGCTACAACGGCAGAATCTACAGCATGAACCATCTGGATCAAATTATGCTCTGTGAAGGAATGAGAAACAAAATAAGCTCGGCTTTTTAGTTAGTTGTAGCTAGCACTTTTTTTTTTTTTGAGACAGGGTGTCACTCTGTCACCCAGACTGGAGTGCAATGGCACAATTTCAGCAACCTCTGCCTCCCAGGCTCAAGCAATTCTCCTGCCTCAGCCTCCTGAATAGCTGGGATTACAGGCGCAAACCACTACCCTCCAGCTAACTTTTGTATTTTTAGTAGAGACGGTTCCACCATGTTGGCCAGGCTGGTCTCAAACTCCACACCTCAAATGATCCACCGGCCTTGGCCTCCCGAAGTGCTGGGATTACAGGTGTGAGCCACCACTCCCGGCCAAAGTAGCACTTTTTAAACAACAGTATTTAGAAGTAGACTCAAAATGTTAAAAATTCAACACAGAGTTGAATTTTATCCATTCTGGTCATCTAAGTCCATACATTTTCAATTTATCTTTGTTACTAACTTATCATAAACCATCCTAAACATCTCTCCCATATCTAATGATTTAAAAAATAGATGCTCAAGCCAGGTGCGGTGGCTCCCAGCACTGTAATCCAAGCACTTTGGGAGGCTGAAGTGGGAGGATTGCTTGAGCCCAGGAGTTCAAGACCAGCCTGGGCAGCATAGCGAGACTTCGTCTCTAAAAAAAAACTAATAAATAATAATGTAAAAAAATAAAAATACAAAAATAGATGCTTAGCTCTCACTCTTAGGAATGGATCAATAAAAGATTTTGCTCTTTGGTCAGCTAAAATGGGAGCTAGGAAAATTCAGAGAATGATGTTCTCAAGATACCAAAAACAAGAAGGGCCACTACTGTCCACCTTTCCAACTCTTGTCTGTAGTTAAACCAATCTGGACATTGGCTGTAGTTAAACCAAATCAACTACCTGCTTATTCGCAGCACTCATCATGTCCTACATTTTGATACAATTATTTTCTTTCATTCTTTAAGAATCTATTCACGTCAGGTCCTGTGCTAAATGTGAGCAGAAAAGTCTCCATCTTGCTTGTATTCCCAGCACTTTGGGAAGCCAAGGAAGGGAGGATGGCTTGAGGCCAGCAGTTCAAAGCCAGCCTGGGAAACACAGCAAGACTCCTTCACTACCAGAAATTTTAAAAAATTAGCCACCCATGGTGGTGCATGCCTATAGTCCTAGCTACTTGAGAGGCTGAGGCAAGAGCATCACTTGAGCCCAGGACTTCAAGGTTACAGTGAGCTATGATTACACCACTGCACTCCATCCTGGGTGACAGAGCAAAACTCTGTCTCAAACAAATCTCCATCTTTGATATGTTCACAGCCTACAGGACAAAACAGAAACAACCAGTCGATCAACCAGTATTTACCAAGTGCCTACAATTTTGAAATAATTGTATTGCTTTAACAAAGGCAAGTAGGTTCAACTCAAAACTTGTTCATACATATCTCATGTGGTTGTTAAAAGTATGTTGCTCTTGTTTTTCCAACCCGATTAAGCCTATTCCCAAGGCAGGGACTGTCTCCTCTTATAATCTCACAAAGCCAAGCAAAGGACTGGGCACAAAGCAGGGACTCAGCAAGTCTAATGAAAAGGAACTGTTGAGAAAGCATACAAGTTCCTGACTCTTCCCAGTCCCCATCTTGTCAGAAGATGTCTCAACCAACCTTCTCTGATTCAGTATCTCTTGCCATGAAGGGAAAGGAACTCCAGGATGCTGTCTGTCTGGGATCTGTTTTTTCCACCCCACACTCCTATCCTCACCCCACACTCCTATCCTCACCCCACAAAAGAGATCAGTAAACTGACAAGTGGCTATGTAGGGTAAAGAGTCCCCCTCCTTCTTTCCTAGCTGCCCCCCCACCCGGTGCCTAAGACAGCTCACCAACCCCACGGTTTTCCAAATCAAACTGTGTTGTCAGCTATGGGTGACTTTGGGTCAGTCGCCGAAACCTCGCTCTGAGCTTCAGTTTCCTCATCTGTAAAGTGGAGCTAATAATCTCTCTCTCGGAGGCTTGTAGAGAGGAATAAAATAGTGCCTGGAAAGTGCTCGGCAGTCACTACTCGATACAGGGCGTTATCCTTTTGAAAGGCGGCAGGATGACAAAGCCGAGGGGGCGCAGCCTGAAGGCCCGAAGGAGGTTCGGGGCAGGCTGACTGAAGACAGAAGGCCGAGCGAGCTGACAGGGCGGAAGGCCGCGGCGGGAAAGGCGGGAAAGGCGGGAAGCAGCGGAGGCGGGCAGGCGGGCAGGCGGGCAGGCGGGCAGGCGGGCGGGCGGGTCGGGCATCAGCTCCGGCGGCGGCAGCCCGCGTCCCCTCACCTCCCTTCTCGCCCACGTCGTTGCCCTCTCACCTCGCTTGATCACATGCATCGCAGCTAGTGGATGAGGCTCTGAAGGATCGGAGACTGGACTGCGGCTCTAAAGCGCCGGCGGGATCAAGAAGGTGACAGAGTAGGAAGGGTTAGGTTGCAGGCGCTGGTCAAGGACAGGAACTGGAGTTGGAGCCAGACAGCACTTTCTCCAGAGCAGAGGCGCAACAATCCAAATCCCCTTCCCGCGCCCGCCACCCGTGACGCACAAAGGGGTGCGACGCGGCTCGAATGACGTTAGTCGACGCTGCGGCCCACGCCTGGGGTAGGCTTCGCAGACTAGTTCAGGCGCCTTGTAGCCGCCATGTTGAGTCTGGGCAAGACACAGAAGACTACGCCTCTCCCATGGGCCCCGTTGGATGTGGACATGCCCGGCGGAAACGCTGCTCTCCTGCCGCCATGTTTTGTGTGGGCAAGCCGAATTTGGACGCCTGGGGGCCCTGGCGTAACACCTAGAGCCTGCTAGGTCAGGCGCCGCCCTTGTCGCCTGCGTGTCTCCGCCGGAGGAAAGGCGGTTCACTTATTTTGTTGCTTTTGAAATAACAAAACCTAACTGGCCGGAACGTTTTTCTTGCTTTGACATTTATTGTAATAATCCTAACACTGCCGTCCGCTGTGGGCTCAAGCCTAGGCTCTACAGCCGTGGGCAGCTTGGAGCCCCAGGGCTTTCAGATCGGCCAGAAGACTGGCACTCAGGAACTGGAAGAAAACCGCGCAAGGCCAATGGCGTTTGGATTTTATCCTGACGCAAATCAGATCCCTGAGAGAATTTTAAGCAGGGCAGGGTCAGTACACATTTGCTTCTGGGGTTCTTCAGTGGATGGTAGCAGAGAAAGGGTATTTGCCTTGTGGAGGTAGGATGGATTTGGTGACTTAAAGTGGTGAATAAGAATAGATGAGAACCCTAATATGCAAGGCTGGTGTAGAAGCTTCTGATTTGGGCTACCCAAAGCGATCTTTATGAAATTTCATCTGTGGCATCTTTTCCCTAAAGCCTTTTCGTTGGTTTCTCACTACCCTCTAGAAGCTGCCCAAGCTTCCTGTGAAGTAATTTGAAAAAATCATGGAAAGTTATAACTGAGCCTGTAATCGCAGCATCTTGGGAGGCTAAGGCGGGAGTATCATGTGAGACCAGGGGTTGAGATAAGCCTGGGCAACATAGCGAGACCCCCATCTCTACAAAAAATAGAAAAATTAGGACAGCGCGGTGCCTCACTTCTGTAATCCCAGCACTTTGGGAGCCTGAGGTAGGCAGATCACGAGGTCAGGAGTTCCAGACCAGCCTAACCAACATGGTGAAACCCTGTCTCTACTAAAAATACAAAAAGTAGCCAGGCATGGTGGCACGCACCTGTAATCCCAGCTACTCAGGAGGCTGAGGCAGGAGAATCGCTTGAACCCAGGAGGCAGAGGTTGCAGTGAGCCAAGATCACACCATTGCACTCTAGCCTGGGCAAGAGAGCAAGACTCCGTCTCAAAAAAAACGAAAAAGAAAAATTAAATAGATGTTTTTTAAAAGTCATAAGTGAAGTCATAGGATAGATAGGGTCAAGTTTACCCAGACATAGGGTTTCCCAATTTAGCAAATAAAAATGTGTCCCAGACACTCCATGAGAGAAAATTATACTTTAAGAACTGTTTATCTGAAGTTCAGATTTAACTGGTCACCCTGCATGTATCTGGTAACCCTGCCCACAGAGCTTCTGGGTATATGCATTCAAGTTTCATTTTCCCTGGGCAAAGGAAAGATAGTCTCTTCATCCCGTCATGCCACAGCACAGAGAACACAATGAGAGTCAAAGCCAGCAGGGGTTAAAATCTCCTACATGCTTTATTGGAGTCTTATGAAATAACACAGAAAACCCCATTTGAGGGTATCCAGGGGGTACAAGGCAGTCTGCAACCTAGCACCCTCCTAAGACCAGCCCCAGGTGCACCCACCCTAGGCCCAAAATAGGATCCCAGGATAAAGGCATGGCAGGGAGTGGGGCAGAGGGAAAACACCTTTACAGCCATAGCAAAAACAGGTAAGGGAGAGAGTTGTATAGAGGGTGGGAAGGGTGGGGGGAAGTGGTCACACAGCCACCTTCACCTATACCATCTTCCTTAGCCACCCCTCCCCCAAACTGGTTGTGTCCTTTTTGAGCCTCTAGCCAAGGCATACAAAGTAACATGAAAATGGGATCTAACAAGGGGAATATGCAGCGTAGGCACTTGGGAAATTCAGGAGATTTTTTTCCTTTTAACTTGTTTGTCTTTTGGTTCAAAAATATGACAGCATCCTTGCCCAACAACTCCAGGGCTCCATAAGAGCCCTGTATCATGGCTGTGGCTCCCCGGGCCAGGGGAGCCACTTGTCCTGAGCCCCAGGAGTATTGATGCTTGGGGAGCTTTGGGGCAGCACCTCTTAGAGACAAACCCTCCTGCAGTGTGGGGGAGCAGGGGTAAGAGGGAGGCAGGTGTGGGTGGGAGAAGAGAGAAAAAGTGACTGCCTTATAACCTACAGTTCTGGCATCCACTCATGCTCCAATGAAGAGAGGCCTCTTCCAACCCATCCCCAAGCCTCTCTTTAAAAGTCTCTGGTGGGTTGTTCTCTGAGAATTGGTTTCACTCCCCCATGGACTCCTGGAAGCCTGAGTGAGATCTAGGATGAGGTTCCTTCTGACCCACAACAATACCAAAGAACAAATCCCAAAGATTAGGCCCTGGCCCCAGTCTGGAGCAAACAGAACCACTGTGAGTGGGGTGGAACGGATCTGAGGCAAACATGTCAGAAGTTACTCCTCCTATCTTCCCTGTAACTGCTAGGGGAAGCTGGGGAGTGGTGGGAGGGAGGAGCCTGAAAGCAAGAGACAGAAACAAGAAACCAAACCTCAAAACTGGGACAGCAGAGACAGAAGCTGAACCCCAGAGGTGGAGCTGGGAGCTGAGGGAACAGCAACTAAGACATGCACTGAAGTGGAGAGGGAGTGACAGCAGCAGCCCATGGTTGGGAGGGAGGCAGGGCAGGCAGGCCATGGTGGTCAGTTAATAAATAATAATGAAGGACCCAAGGATGTACAGTGCAGGTATATACAGTGCCCAGACCCCTGGACCAGCCCTTCCCATGCCCCACTCTTGGGGCCAGTTATCTTGAAGGGAGGGAGGGAAGGAGAGGCAGAAGACCCAGGGAAGGACAAGCTGTCCCATTACTGCCACCCCCATCCTGCCTACTTCTTAAGAGGCTTCTTAAAGATTTTGAGGGGAAACTTCTTCCGGCCTGGGCTGGAGTCTGTCTCCTCGCCAATAGAGCCATTATCCTCCTCAGCCACAGCCTTCTTGCCAGCCAGGTGGGGAATGCGTGTGTTTCGGCTGGCTTGCAGGGCTCGGCTGTCCCCAACTGGAGATGGCGTGTCTGGGTCTGGGGAACTGGGGCTGTGAGAACGGGAAGAATCCAAATGTGGAGAGCCACCAGGTGGGGCTGAGGGGCTCAGCTCCATTAGGCTGTGGGCCTTGTCCAGCCCATGGTTCAGCGCCAGTAATGCCTTGGCCAGGGCAGGGCTGTCAGGCAGTTTCTCCATCAGAGACCCTGGGTGGACCCCCTCGATCAGCCGGTGGCTGCCATTGGAAGTCATGGCATTGAGAGCCTCATCTGCGGCACGGCTCATCTGAGGAGGTTTGGGGGCCACACGCTGGCGGTCACTCATGTGGAGGGAGGACTCCGAATCGGAATGGGTCAAATCCCTGCAAGACATGGGGCAGAGAGGAAGAAAGGGACATATATTGGATGGGGTGATGGTGGAAAGGTGAAGAGGAGAAAGGGACAACACAAGAAGACAAGGACAGGGTAGGAAAATGGGGATAGAGCGGCAGGAGAGAGAAATAGGATGAACAGGCAGGTGGGAAGGAGAGAGGAAAGAGGAATAGACAGAAGTTGAGCAGCCATAAGTATAGGATAAAAGAGGAGGCAGGAGGAGGGAATGAGGATAGATTGGAAAAGAGACAGGGAAAGGAGAGTAGAATTGTAGAGGAAGAAAAGCAAAAGGATAAGCAGGTAGAAAGAAGGGCCAAGAGAGAAAGACAAGAAAGGGAAAAGTGATGGGGAGAGAAGAGAGACAAGAAACAAAAACAAAAAATGCCATCATCTGTCTGGCAAATGGTTTTCCAATACCTGGGCTCCACAACTGGCGAATGCTCTGGCTCTGAACTGGTGCAACCATAGGCTTAAATTCCACAGGTATCCTCCTCAATAAAATCTCTGCCTTCTCATAGCTGGCTAGATTTCCTGGGACTCAATCTTAAGCTAACACAGAACCCACATACTGCTCCGGGTCACCATTTTCCATGCCTTCCTCCCCCACTTACTCCTGTCACACCTTAGGATATTATCCAGTCTGGGTCAGGCCCCAAGGAACAGGGCACATGCAGTCAGTGGACCTGACCCAGGCTGGGGATGAGAAGGTTAGAACAGCCTTGCAAAAAATCCTTCAGTCACCCCAAAAGGCCAGGATGCTGCCTCTTCTAACTATCTCACAGGATTCAAAGAAGGTCATAGATAGGTATTGCAGAGTTCAAACCAAAGTCTGTGGTGCGGCAGGAAGGGTGGGGTCTCTTACAGACCTCTGCTGACAGGGAGAACGTAGGGAGGCATAGAAAGACAGGATGTTGGCCTTTAAAGAGCAATGGTTCAGAAGAGTTCTGGACTCTTCTGTGCGATCTTGGACAAGTCATCTAAACTTGCTAGTTCTTAACTTTGGCCCAGTGAAGATAATACCAATTCAATTTATCTTACAAGACTGTTTGGAGGATCAAATATGCTGGCAAAGCACTTGGAAATGTAGAAATTATTGTGGGAATGAAGATGATGAGGCCTGCCAAGCTGAAAGGCCTATGTAAGGGCCGGTCACAAGAGGCTTCTTTGCAAGGCTGAGTTATGGAGACATGCCACCGCACATTGGACATGCACACACACAGGCTAGTCTAGGAACTTGAGACCCTTTAAGGAGCTGGTGGTTCCTAAGCCATGAATCAATTCCAGATGCCACCCCTCCTGCTCTACAGACAAAAAGGTAGATATGGAGGTGCTCTCTCTGCCAATCCTGAATCCTCCTTCTGCCTTCCTAGAGGCCTGAGAACTTCAGCAAAAGCAGAGAAGAGAGCTAAGGGAAATGTTTAAACATCTGCTAGCCAAAGGGGAAGAGTCATGAGTGGGAAAGGAGACCACCATAGGACCTAGAAAGAAAGAGGCTGAGGGTCAGAAGTTAGGGAGGGTACCAGGCCCCTGAAACAGGCAAAAGCAGGGGGTTGACTCATAGCTATTGTAGACTTAATTCTCAGTAGGAAGCAAATAACTAAGTAGCCACCCCATGGGCCAGTACCTTCCTGGACTCAGCAGGCAGCAGAGAACAAGTCCAGCTCAGCTTCCATTCTACAAATATTGTTTTAGCCACATATTCTAGTATTTACAAATATTCAGTCTCATATTTGGTTTCATATATCTGACACTGTCCTTGCTTCTAAACTTGTCCTTGTTTCCCTAAGCCCCAAGATGATCCTCTCCATATGTTGCCTTCTCCAAACACTATTATAAACCAAGGAGCAAGGTGCCAAGGAAGTTTTGGGGAGCAATCACACTGAGAAAAGGGGTCCTCTAAGCTAAGGAAGTGAAGATCCTGGGATCCTACCCTCTCTAACACCAAGGAGGAGAAATCAGGAGGTTAGGGCCTTCCCAGCCTCACTTCTCCTGGACCACACCCCTATTTGGTCTTGATTCCTATCCATCTTTTTATTTATTTATTGACAGGGTCTTGCTCTGTCGCCCAGGCTGGAGTGCAATGGCGTGATCTTGGCTCACTGCAGCCTCGACCTCCCAGGCTCAAGTGATCCTTCTGCCTGAGCCTCCCGTGTA